TACACCCACAGCTTATCTTTTGTATAAGTATATAAAGCTACGCGTAATCAATATCATCAATTAAGCAATAATTTTAATAAATAATTTGCTGATACAGAACAAGGTATATATATTACACGAAGATAACGATTTTATTGAATTACATAAAAATTGAGACAGATATAAATCTGAAACTAATTTCGTTAAAGTATAATATAAAAGTAATTGTACACGCGAAACTCAAATATATTGAACAACTCTACAAAAAGTGTTGACACTCTAACAATCAGCTTAAGCCCTACATAATTATTTTAATAGCCCAAAATAAAATTATTTTCAAATTTGTATGTAGCTAAATTTTTAAATACGTCCGCAAAATCGTTCTTTCTGTATACATGCAATGTTTTCTATATATATGCGAATTATTTATTAAAATATCCATTGTCAGAGTAATATCGACGATTACATAGCTTTGTATAAAAGATAAACTGTGGGTATGAAATCTCTCCGTTTGCATCCGTTTTTTGGCAACTATAACATGTAACAAACAAAATGTTTTTAACGAGGACGTACAATACGTTTTAAATCAAGCTCGTTTCAATACTTATTTTCTGTTATTACTATTTTGTAAAAATATTTATTGTTGGCTAGTAGCACAAATGGCTTTATCACACATTATTTTTGTAATCGTCGTATTATATCGCATGGCTTTTACAATATCGTTGCTTTGAGTTTTCACAAATGCACAATTGAATATCATGCAAAATGAAGCAAATAAGGTGCTCTTAAATAATATTTCGTGCATTTCAAATAATAAATTAAATAAGTATTATGAAAAGAGCCAGATATAAAGGTCAAAGCTACAAATTTTGATAAGTAATATTTATATGTGTAAATTTTAAAATACATTTTCCAATTATATGAATTTCGCACAGAATACTGTTGCTCTTAACTGAAACATAATCATAAACTAAAGCTGAAATAATATCACAAATTAAATTGATTGTCAATTTAATAATATATTAATAACCATCTTAAAACTCTGCGAAGAACTTATTGCGAAAAATAATCAATTATTATCTAAAAATTACAGTTAATTAAATAATTCCATATCTTTATTTAAAAACGCTGTATGTAATCTGTATATTGCATAAATGTTGCAAGAGTATATTGCTTTCCTCGAAATAATTATCGCCAGCAGCAGTGTATGCATTTATATTATTTTCGTCGACGATTCGTCAATATCGTTTCAGTTGTCTGTCTGCATCAGCGAATGAACTTTTCTACGCGATCAACGCGCTAATCCGGCATCAAAAATTTCATGGCTCAATCATTCGTACAATATTCTATCCGAGAGTTGTCAGTTATTCTCCACGCGTCGCTAGCTCGCAAAATTGCAGTCGAAGCTACGTCAGCCATAACACTCTTTGTCGGTGTATCGCACGAATATGTGATTTAACTGAGCGATATGCGCGTACTTAGCTGCATGAGCGCACAGTGAGTGCCCGATTATCACGGCAGATTTGTATTGACGTCGTCTGTGCTTTATTGCGAAAACCAAGAACAGTAGTTATTCTAACGATTACTGTGTACGAGAAACGGAGACGGAAAGCAGACTGATATCGATGTCAGATTCATATCCTAAACTTATTAGAATATAAAACTAACACAAAATGCAACACAGAATTGAAGTCTTTCACAATATTTTCACATTTTTATACTGTTTTACGAGGTTTATCAGAATCTTGATTAGATTGATGACCACTGTGATTTGTAATATTATTTCTAGCATCAGTTTATGATTGAGTTTCAAGTTCGACAAACTGAATCGACGCGACGTGCAATGTATAGAACTGAGAAACGTATTTATGATATCTATTCGTTTATTGGTTTATTTTTTTTGCTTATTATTGTTTAGTCTTTTACACTAACTTCGCGTCCGCGTCCAACTTGATTAAGTCATTGTCTTCTTTCCTACTCGGGACAATGGAATTGGATCTTGTTACTAGGTATCGAAACTTTTCTAAAACTGCAAACAAAAAGAAAGTGCTGGTAATTCCGCTCTTTATTTATGTTATATTTACTCCGAAATTAGGTTTATCGTATTATTATGAATGCAAAATGGAGCACAATATTCTAGATATCTGCATAATCGCCCGAAAATAAATTTACGTCAATTATACTTAATTTATATAAGTTTGCTTTTGTGTATATATGCTTTTGAATGATTTTCGTACGAAGAAGCGTGGCTATTTTACCACGCCGCGCGCCGGGTGTATACAGATAAGCCAATCACAATTCTGTTTATTTAAGAATTAACAATTGCGACGTGATTAATGTGCCATAGGTACTTATTTGCAACTCCCTAATTCCCGTTTAATAAAGCCCGCCGTTAATACTCATCACAATCAAGCGTGTGCGTGTCTTCTCATGGCATTTCGTACAATGCCCGTGTTATTTTGATCGCGCGCGTCCACCGTTCGCGCGCGCATATCTTTGGACCGTGCACAACCCCGGTGGATGAAATCCCCGGATCCGGTAAAACCCTCTTTGTTCCTGCAGCACGCTCGGCCCCATGCGATACGTGTTAATCGCACCACGTCCCGACACGGCAGGCGTCATGCGCTTCTCGGCGCGCAACGCGGCGCCGCGCCATGCTGGCGAGGTCACGATTGATGCATGAACGCATTCATCTGGCTCGCGATAGTTACATTTTAACTATCTATTTGCAAAAGCAGAATATGTCGCTTTCTGTTGCGTGGCGAAAATAAATTTAGACAATTTAGTTATAAATCCAATTAGCTCCATACTCGACACGCGAAATACGACTGTCATCCTCTTCCTCGCCTCTCTCGCGCACCGTGCGATCGTAGTTTCAATATTTTTTGAACGAACGGCGCAGCGTGTACGTCCTGATTGGATACTCCACGAGCACGTGTGCTTCATAAAGTATGCCAGGCGTTCATTGAACGGTAACGTTTAGCGCGTTTACGAAAAACCGCCACGTGGTGCGATGCAAATTTATATTGTTCGTAGAGAGCTGGAATTTGCAAATAGCTCGTAAAGAGCGGGCAATTTCGATGTAATTAACTCTTTTCGGACAATTTTAAAATTACTGAATATCATTTTACATTGCGTACATATACAAAAAGAATGGTTTTGCGAAAGTATTTAAAAAGTTTCGTACAGATTTGAAAATGTTGTTTTAGACTATCAAAATAATTTTATGTATAAGAATGTCCTTATACTGTATAAAAAATAAGAATCTATAGTTGTGAGACTGTTGAAACTTTTGACAGCATTGCTCATTATACTTGTGCGTTCTATAGAATAGTTTTGTCCAATATAATTTTTTAATCCAGCAAAGTTATTTTAAAAATCTCTAGTTTAAATTTCCAGATTCTTGAGAAAAGTTTTCTTTCTATATAGAACGCTTAAACAATAATAGTTGCTAAAACGTTAAAGTTTTTTTTTTTAGCATTGTCATCACACACAACGCTTCAATGTTTTATAGAATTATTTTGATCTTCCAATAAAGTTATTTTCAGGTATGTAGCTAGTTCAATTTTTAAATATTTCAGCAAAAATTTTGTTTCTTTTTGTATATGCATGCATTTTTGGAATAACATGTAGGACGCGCACGAGAAATACAAAGGGGATTAATGACTCTCATGATCTTCGTGCATTTTTTCTAATAGTTTTGAGACGACGAAAATATCATCAATGTTATCCAACAATCGATAACTCGCCCGATGATATCCCTTTTGTTTAAATACGTTATTCGAGTTCAGCAGGAAGCTAGCTGTTTGCCGAAGCCCAATATTGGGTTACTGTTAGCGAATTCTGCGAACCAATCTCTTCTGGCAATCGCGCTACATATCTCCCTGTGGGCGCTTCGATTCGTTGGAGGCAGCAAAGTTGTAAGCTGCATATTTTATCTGTGATAAAGTGCACCGCCGATACTCCCGCTCGGCTCTCTCGCGCAGCTTAGTTCCGTTAAGAACTTACTACTTCCTTTCGCTGAATCTATGCGCATCCCACGGAAGCAGCGATCCGATAAAAATGTACAACGCCATCTCTTTTGTGCGTTACTAATGTATCACGCTACCGTCTACTAGAAAAGAGAAATGTATAAATTAAACTTAGATCTCCTAAGAGAAAAATGATACAAAGGAAAAAGAAGGTACAGTTGGAAACTTGACCATACAGAGTTGGAAGATTTGTGTTAAATTTAACACATTTTACCTCTTCCAAATGTTCTACTTTCAAACTTTTAATTTAACGTAAGATGAATACGTTAGGAAGTATCACAAATATTATGTAAAAAAATTAACACAAAATCATAACACTTGTAAATTGTGGAAGTATGTTTTGTTCAGTAAAAATTAACATTTATATTGAATTGAAACAAAAGTTCGTAGCACTACAAACTTCGAAATTCATGTTGCTGTAATTTCGTTACAAAAAATCTTTTCTAAGGGAATAAATTGAAAGTACACTTTATACTTATGGCTAAAACTATATGAGAGAAAAGAAAAGAACGGTGCACACAATGCATTGAGAGAACTGAGTTAACGGTATTTCATAGATCGCGATACTGAGCTGAAATTGATTCATTTTTCAATGATCAGACCTGTCATACATGACGAAACGTCTGCGGAGCAGACTAGATCGTTGGCGTACTCTTCGGGGTTAGCTGGAGATCCGCAGATAAATCCGCCAAACTTTTCTCCCCGTTGGTCTATTCCCCAGCTGATTTACTAAGACCCGCCCCCAATAGCGCCCTGCAGGCGGCACTCGTTACAACGTCGTTTCCGAGCCCCGGAACGAATTCCCAACTTCGCTACGTGGCATGTCGTGTTTCGACGTGAGGCAAACGTTTACCCCCTCGTCCCTCTCCCGCTGTCCATTCCCATTCCTTTCTCTCCCACGCTGGTCCGTTCGATTTACGCATCGAAATTAAGCCACGCTTGGCTTGCGGCGCTCGTCCAATGCACTGCACTTTTTTAAACCCCTACCCGATGCTACTCAACGTCAGTTGCATCGGTAGAAACGACGTTTCGCAAAATGAGCGCGCCATTGGTCAAGCCCGAGTCCAAAAGAATCTAGATGCTGTAGAGGTTGTAACGAACGAAGTGCAGGAGTGGGATGGACGAGGTAGAGCCAGATTGATACCTGATACAAGTCCATCCCGCTTGAAGATTTTTGTGCCAGAGCGCCGCACGAAGAAGGGAAGAATTCCCTGCGTCGCAAAAAGTGCGGAATACGACGGGACATGTGATTGCTGTCATTTAGCGAAAAATTCACGAGTATCTTCCTTTATAGCGTCAGGTAAACGAATATCGATCGGTCGATAAAATATGTGGCATAAACGGGAAATATGTGTTGGTGGAAAAATCCCGATATGCGTGACGTGTTACAAATTTTTGTCTGCCCTTTTTTTTTACTATAAAACTTGAAACATAATTTGACAGAATGTCAAATTCTACGATCTAAACGTCGCGAAACGCTCGGAAATTGTAAGAGATTTAAAATTTAACCTTGTAGACATAACACTGAATGATTTTGACCAATTATTTATTAAGCATTGAACAATAATTGCTCTTCTATAATAATATTTAAAATATATAAATAATTGATTACTGTATTTTTTAATATTAAATTGCTTAGTATATTAAATTAGATTTTTGTAAGACAAGAAAACGTTGTTATCTCAAAATTAGTACCCAGATCATCCTACTGGCTTGGTAACACTTTAGTGTTGCAGAAACAACGTTAGATGAAACGAAGTGCATAGTCACGTTGAGGAGTGGTGAGTTTCTAGGACTCCAAACGCAACTGGGGATTGTTACCGGTAAACGGGATGGGCGAGGCGGATTGAGGTTGATACGCGATACCGGGGTTTTGCTTTAATATATAGAATTCTACACACAACCGGCGTGTGGCCGGGTATCATAACCAGATACAACATGCAGAACAATGCGAATAAACTGCGGTGAGAGAGTGTATCGCAAACGTATATCAATTTCAAGAGCGGTGTTCAGCGACGCTGTAACGACCAAGATACATTTACATATAGTTACATAGGACTCATCGCTATGTGTATGGAATCACGGAATATCATGAAAAAAAAGTTTGATTATTAATAATCAAATGTAGATGATTATAGTTATACGTTAGGAGAAAAATTTTTGATATTTGTAACTATAATTACATGTTACTATAATTATGATTATTACTGTTGTAATTTTAACTTTATTGGTAATAATAACTATAATATATGTATACTTTTATCTACAAATGTATATTTATTTCTTTCGATAATCATGGATTTTTTGCTGCTACTTAACGTTAGTTACAAAAGATTTATTACTAAACAGTTGGTTATTACTTATAATAATATTTATTAACGTTTACTAAATATTGCACCAATACGCAAAACAAAATACATTTAATAACTAATATCAGACTTTTTCAACGGCGTAATTAAAATTTTTGTTGTACAACAATAATAATAAATATATGGAATGGTGAATAAAACGCATTATCAAGACATAACATCACGCAATGAATTGATGTCAGCTAGATAACCGTCGTCTCGATAACGAAAGGTTCACGAGTTAAGCATTAAAATTGTTTTATAATCCACGTTCTCACAGCAACGAAGCATTGAATCCAGATTGATACCAGAATTGATGGATCCTGGATAGGACGGGACGGCGGCTTATTGTAATGTGATGCGTAATGCACGAGATGGAAACTATAAAACGAACGTGCGAAATAACAGAAACTGGGCCACCCATTACTATATTAAATGATTTGTAATCTAATCTTGATCGAACATACATTTCCGTATTTCGTAAAATATCCGATACTTCAATTGCGTTATCGCTCCATGTAATCGTGTAACTCCAGCGGGAATCCTTTTCTGTGACATTCGGCAAAGCTTTCTAAAATTCATTAACCATTCGTACATGATTCTGCTGCATGTAGAAAATGTTGATATATAAACTGAAGAGGAAGATGAATTTAGGTAGATACTGGTATTGAAATAATGCTTTATGTACAGTCGAGCACAACGAGTTAAGATTCGGGTCCAGATTGATGTGGTGGTAAACGGTAGCAGCCGCATGAGCGATTGCGCTGAGTTTTGTTTCGCAGTTTGCCAGGTTACAAAACATGTGGAATAGTAGACGGAATGGAGGAGTAAAAGCGGATTGCAACCGCAGTAATGCCCAATTTGTTGCAAAGTTTTCACTGAATACATCGGCCTGAGTAATCGGTTAGAGATCAACCATTAATCACTAGATTGTAATTCAGTGTCTGGAAAACCTTGAATTAATTATGTCGAAAATTTGAATAATCTCTCATAACTTATACTCTAATGCCGATCATGTGTTTATTATTTGTATATACATATATAATATGATAATCAGGAGAATATATGATCTAGGGGAGACCGGGGCACCCTGTGAGTCACAAAAATTCAAACAGTAAAAAATACATTAAAATGTAAGATTTTTTATCTCAATTTTTTTATATAATTAAAGGATAATGTATATCTTAAGATTCATCGAGCATTTTTTATCACAAATATTGATTTGTTTTTTAAATAAAAATCGAAAAAGAAATTTTTAGAAATAACCTATAGTACCCCATGCCTGGGAGGTACCATGGATCAGACACATATGTATCCTTAGACGACCTTCTTTTATATTTTCTAATCATTCGTATTGTCTAATTTCATTACGAAAAAAACTTAGCCTAATCTAAACCGATGAGAACCTATCCAGATAAATTTGATATTATTATGATTGAAATATATTATTATGCAAATATACAATATGTTCACTCTATTATATATTTATCGGATATCGTTGATAAAATAACGCCATAAGCAGCATTGATACCATAATTCGCGTGGTCTCCGAAAAGATCTCATGCGTACGATCGAACGAACGAACCAACGAGCGAGCGAACGAACGCGAACAAATGTTCGAAGCTCGATTGTGCGGAGAGTAGGAAGAGAAGTGGGGTTTCTCGGTGGCCGGCGGAGATTCTAGGTGGCTTTGACCCGCCAATTCAGCATCACCCATACGGGCACTCAACCGCAAATCGAGTTCCGGCCGTAGGGCGGAATAAAATCGACCCCGTCAACCTCGACTTTCCGGCTCCTCCCTTCGGTAACCGATGCAACCTTCGATTCGCATGTAGGCGAACCTTATAGTAAGACATTACTCGCGAGGGACGCGTTTGTCCCGAGAAAAGGTGGGAGGAAGAGAGAGAGAGCACGAGCGGAAGGCGAAGAAAGAGAAGATAGTAAAAGAAAAGAGGTTGGATAGACTTTAATGGGTGTAGCAAAATGGAAAAGCCTGGCCGCGGAATAACCGGGCCACGCTCGGGATTATGATTTCCGCAAAGAACGCGCGTGTCGCGCGTTGATATTCTTTCCGGATCGCGATCGTAAAGTCCACCGTTTTATACGGAAACCGGGGCAAGAGTAGTGCGGTCGGTGAGCTTCAACAATCTGCATTTGTATACACGGGATTTTAATACGCGCGCGTTCTTGGAAAAATTGGTTCCCAATAGAAAGTCGCGGGTGAGACAATTTCGTATCTCGTCGGTCGTATCGATGAAGTCAAGAATTTTTTTTATGACAGCGAACAAAATGTGGCAATTGTGTGTGTGTGTGTGTGTGTGTGTGTGTGTGTGTGTGTTACGTGTACATATACATATGTATACAACTTGAGATAAATTCCAAACTATCCTAAACTCCGCAAAATTCTCGGCTCTCGAGAATTTTGCATTGAGAGACAAGTAATATTTGTGGCTGTTATAATTGTATGATAAAATAATGATTACCAACCATAATTATTTTACCAATTATAATCACAAATACCAGGCACTTTTTCTGTCGGAGCGTGTAATGTCTGAAATGAGAAACTCGTTTCCTTCAGCTTGTTCTCTTTAACGATCGAGTACAAGAGGTCCGACATTACAGGTAGGATGAGTGGAGCGCGGGGTGAAGTTGTCGCTTCCGCCGGAGATGACGCGGATGCGTTCGTTCCCGCCGTTATCGTTGTCTACTTTATTACGTGCAGCCTGTATGCGTCGTGTATGCGCACGTGTCGTCCCGCCGTACGTTGTACGTGAACGACGTGGTTGCTACTCGTAGTTTCCACCCTTCGCGCATACAGAGAGCTAATCCACGCCGGCTGATTTATGGACGAACAGATATACTTGTCCACCCCTTTACTGCCTTCGCAAGAAGTAACTTACGAGCATTATTGTTGCACTAAGTGTTGCGAAAGCTTGCGCTCTCTCGTGTCTCATTGGTGCCGTCAGAAAGATCAAATTTACTACTCCGTACTCGCTTCTACTCGGGATATCTTCTAATTTCTGGTAACCAGATACCTGAATGTAAGCTCTTTTATTAGATATCGTATGATTATAGGATCACGTCCATTAGCCGGATTAAAGACAAATATAGTACGGTTATCCAATCTCGCAGTTTTCCTTCATTTAATATACTTTTCTATCTAACATGATTCTATTGAATTTCTAATACATTAAGAAAAAATGTTTGGTGTTTATAGCTATATACGTATTGCATAGTAAAATAATTATATGTTTTAAGGGCTCTATTTTTACACGGTTATCACTGCTGATGTTATTTATAATGTTATAAGTAACAATATTTATAGTTTTATTACCAGAAATATACATATATTAATAATTTGATCCCAAAACTTATATTTTTTAAATACAAATGTAACTATTATTATTATTACACGGAAAGAGTTTGACTGAAGTATTTAAGAATTTAATTAAGTACAAATACATTGAAAATAATTTTGCCGAGTCATTAAAATAATTATGTAGAATACTCAAGCGTTAATGACAATGCTGCAAAATTCTAACAACCTATAGTTCTATATATAATATTTATTCTCCGAACAAATTATTTTTCAAATCTATATTTAGTTAAATTTTTAGATACTTTAATGAAACAGTTCTTTCTGTGTAACATTATATAGCAATGATAAATGTAAATATGAAACTTTCAGTCATAATTATTTCACCATATAATTATAATCACAAATATCAAATATTTTTTCTAACAATAAGTGTATCATTAATATCTACCACATTTATAAAATAAATTTTTGCGAAAAACGAATTTGTAAACATAACCATAATTACGACTTTCGCGAAAACAATCTCGCTCGATTGCCTAAATGATTGAGATAATTGGAACAACATATATGAGCATAGAGGCGTGATTCACATTTCCGTTAGCGCGGAATTTCTTCTTCAGATTATCTTTTTTTTTTTCTAAACGCATATATGTACGTTCTGCGTAACCCAGCTCACACTCAGCTTATATATATGATATTTTCACGCTCGTACTTTTTTGCCAACAGTGCCGCCCGATATTCTGGACTATGACACCAGCACGGACATGGTGGTGATGGAGGGACGAAACGTGACTCTGCGTTGCGCTGCGACCGGTTCCCCGGCGCCCAACATCACCTGGCGACGCGAGGACGGTCAGCAAATTCAGCTCGGAAACGGAGAGGAAGGTGAGTTTTAACGAGTCGCCCGCGAACGAGCGGTAATTCGCAGTCAGGCCTGAGTGATAAAATCGGGAAAATTTCGCTGAATTAAGATGACTCGCTTAACTCGCTTTCTCTGTCCCGCGCTCCTCCATCCCTTTTCGTTGCAACGGACGCTCCGTTTACGACGAGAGCTAATCGAATACGACGAGCGAAAGACGCGACGTTTGATACTTGGCGGAGTGCACTCGGCGATGCGGTCCTTTTCCGGATTGCGCTTTTAACTCCCCCCCCCCCTTCCTTCACTTCTTTCTCTCCTCTTAAACGCTCTCGCCCTGGAATGTACCAAGTATTTTATGTGTCATTAGCTTCGCGCCGGACAATCACGAAATTTCTCCGCTCCGCCTTTGCCATGGAAAACTATAGGGTTTAATTTTTCCCTTCGGTCCTTTGTAAACTTTTCTACTCTATTTGACTTTAAGAGTTCTCTGTCTTGTGACAACATCTTATTGCTTATTTAACTTTACTTCCTTTAAATTCTAACTATCTGTTGATCTTTTTTGATATTAATTATTTATTTTTTTTTATGAACAATATTATTATATTATTTTACTGATCAATTTTAATTCTTACAATGTACAATTCTTTTGCTGCACACTTACTTGCCCTTATTGTTCTATTATTAAACTTTTTACATACATTATATTCTTTCTCGACAAAAAATGTCGACTTTTACTGATATTTCTGTTATGAAAACGTTGATTTCACCTGTATTTTTTTTTACCTTTGGTGCTGCGAATTCACGTAATACATAAGCACACGAAGGTAGAACTTTGCTTATGAAGTTTGTAACTTCCATAGTCGACTTGCAAAAAACATTATATACGACGCTTTTTAAAATACTATAATTCAATTCGCCTGATAAATGCTTGAAAAAGGGCGGACGGGCTTTAAATATTTACAAATTTAACATCGTCCAGATTATTTCTGGTCCCTGAAAGATAAATGAGCGCGCCTGGCTTTCGAAAGATATCATTGAGGGGGGGGGGAATCGTACGGGTTCGACTCGCAAACCCGAGTAGGTCGAATCGAGTAAATATCCCTCTAACGTCCCTAAACGCGGCGGCAACGCGCCAAAAGCACGCTCCGCTACGCGCGCATGGCTGTAAAGGCATCGCCTGAAAAAAGATTTACGCTCTGGCGGAGGAGATACATTCGGGCTAAACTGCGCGAGTGCATTCGAGCCGTATCAAGCCCGGGGGCCGCTCGGCACCGCACCGCACCGCGGCGGTCGCTCGAAGAGCGCAAACACACCGCGTGGCTAGGCCAATAGAGCTAGGTGATACGTTTGCAAAGACCGAGGAAGATCTTCTATATTTGCATTGAAATTGGCAAACACACGGCAAGCGCGCGATACGGTGACTTTGGTGCACAGGCGTGCATGCGCGGCCCCGTGGCCGTACGTATGGCGCGAGAGGGCCGATAAACAACCGGACCAACCTTAAACCACGATTACGCTATCCATAGTTTCGCTATTACGCCATTAATCGGATAAAGTGTGGGGACCGGGGAAGGAAAACCGCGACGTTTCCGGCCGTGATGGGTAGCCGGCTTATTCGTTCGGGACGGGACACCGCACACCGGCGGATCTCTCGAAAGAATATTCCCACGTGATAGTTTCTCCAAGAGGTCACTGCAGTCACTATAGACTAGGATTGCCACCTATACAATTGTTTTGGCAACCCAGATCCCAGAGGTAAAGAAAAGAAATAAGATAATATGATTTTAATATGTATCAAGTGTTTAGTATAAAAATTGTCGAAACACACAAAATTCAACAATATCATAAAACCAAAAATAATTAAAGGTGACCAGACTAATAAATAAAATTCTGGCAATTACCAAACAAAAAATATGTAAATAGTATTCTTTACACAAATTTTATTTTAGCTAAATACAGATTTGAAAATAGTTTTGTTGGACTATCAAAATAATTATGTAGAATACTTCAACTATAAAAGTTTTGACATTCTAACTTGACATTCTAACAAGTAACTTGAGCACTGTCTTACATAATCATTTTTTATGAAATTATACACTTTTTATTTTCAAATCATACAGATCGTACAAAAATTAAAAAGATCGTTATACATAAGTTGAACAGAGAGAAAATAAGCATAGATAGAGAATTGCAAGTAAGTAAAGTCTTGTGTCCACGATGCTAGAATTTGTTAGTCCGAATTCTCGAATCAAGAAATACCAATCATCTTGCCGTTTTTCCGTAAAATCTACATGTTAATTGGCTACACATTCCTGAATCCAAGAATTCGAACCGAGTTCTATAGCATCGTGGACACAGGGCTTAAGTGAGGAGAACTCCTAAAAAAAACTATATAAGAACATAAAGATATCCTTTTAGTGCTACACTTTGTGTGATTAGCTAACTATTATTGAATCAATCACAGGACTAAAGTTGACTTCGTCAACTACGAATAGAATTAAAGGCGAAACTCTTATCAGACTTAGTCAATAGATGACACGAGTTTATCGTTATCCATAACAATTTTAATGATTCAATAAAATCGTAATTTACGAAGTGTGTCATATGTTTTAAAATTTCGTGAGCATGTTCTTGCGGACAGAAAGGAAGAATATGTAACGCTGATGTTTACGAGCGAATATGCCAGGCACGTGTATACATTGTGCTCGAGCACAATGGAAAATGATACAGGACATTTTGGGAATCTGATATAAACAAAAAAAAGTATCCACTTAAAACTTTTAAATAAAAAAAATCATTATTTGATGCTATTATGCCTGTTTTTTTTTTCTTTACACTGTGCCCACAATGCAGAGAAAAAGAACAGGCCTATTGTATTTGTGTCTATCATTTCAATAAGATATTTACGAAATATAATTTTTATAGAAACATTTGCTTTTTTATTTTATTCAGAACATTCTCAAAAAGTTTTTTTTAATACATCTCATTTTGTATACATATATGCGCGCGCGCGTGTGTGTGTAAACATGTATATATGGTGTTTGTTCACTAATATCAACATCATGGTCATCCTGAAAAGGATGGTTGTGTATGCAAATGAGGGATGATCCTGTCAGATTAATTGGGCCGAACTTGATCCTCCCTCTAGATTCGATAGCGACTGGTGATCAGTCGCTAATTGTAAGTGTTGTATTACATCCGCTTGTTCGCCTCTTCGTCGTCCCCAGTGATTTCGTTCTCAGAGCCAGAACGACGCCTGTGCTGTCGTCGACGTTGTCGACTCTGTCGACGCTTCAAGCGTCGTAGTTGGCGCCGACGGCTCCGCAGTTTTGAACTATTTCTTGGGGTTATGGTAACAGAAAAGCAATCTTCCTGCATCTGTATGGACCGATTATTGGTTGTTCGCGATCCTACTTGGATGGCTCGGTGGACCTGTATGATTGGCTCCGTCTGTACGGACTGATCGGTTGTTAGCGGTGTTACAAAAATGTTTCGGTGAATCGGATAAATCCCTTCATTTGGTAGCGTGCCTCTTTCATGAGGTGGTGGTGACGCCGGCGAGAAAGAATTCGAAGCGTCGTCGTCGATCGGGAAAAACTCGAAGTCGTAATCGTCCCTTGAAGATCCCACGGCAGGTAGCGGGCTTTCACATGACGTACTCATATTGTCGAGCTCCGCAGACAGTCTCATCGGGAATTGTAAACAACGAAAATTCCTGTTAGATGAGATGAATCGGGATCGTGCCTCGTCCTTCCTCTGTCCCGTAAGTGGTTGAGCTGATAAAGCGGTCTTCTGAAAAATGCCCACGTAAAATAATTAGATTGCTGTTCTGAATTAAGCTGTAGCTGTTTTTCTTCGAATTAGAAACGAAGGCGGCTGACTGATCTGCTTCAGCTTGTGAGAGTTTTTGTAATAGTCCGAGTCGTATTTAACTTACGAGTTTGGTCGCCATCTCGTGTTGAATGGCGAATTCAATGCTGCTTCAATTGTTGCCATTCGTCAGGCGTTTGAAAATAGTGGCGAAACTTCATACTGTTAATAGCTTCTGCAACCTATAACCGTCACACACACACACACACACACACACACACACACACACACACACACACACACACATACACACACACACATATATATATATATATCATAATCACAAAATAAAAATATAAATTGATATTATTCTTTATTTATGTAGATATATTAGCCTTTTTAAAAAATTGTATGTCTAATAATATTTAGCTCTATATTTTCAAGTTTCTATAAAATTACAAAGTTTAGTATAATTTATGTCAAAATTTAGTTTAATAGGTACGTAATTCCACTTTCGCCATTCCATGCAATACCCATTTTTAAAAGGATTTTTTTTATATTGGGAGTACAAATTAGTTCGGTCCGTTATATAACCCTAATATAAAATTGTTATTTAGGAACACAGACAAATTTATTTTTGCTTTTTTTTTATTGATGTAAGATATTTTACATTTTGATGCAACTCACACTGTAAAAAAGTATATAAAATTATAAATAATATGTGTAAAAATTACATATTTTATAGTCGAAATATTATAATTGTGCGTTTTACAAAAATTAATACTTTACCTTTAATTGTATAATATATCTTAATATTAATCAAAAAATTAATACAACAATAGTATATTTACTACAACAGTAGATATTAAAATAACTTATTAATTGTTGTAATTTTACACATAATAATTTCTCTACATTGCTCATGAAAAAAAATAATGATCAGATTTGGAACTTGAACATAAATCTTTAAAATATCTAAAGAGTAACCCTACTGCGTACGCGCGGCGGGTGTTTGGCGACATTAAAAAAAATCTCGACTTTTTGTAATAATCTTGCACCTTAATGATATTACGATCAAGACATTGTTATACTATAAAGCGTTATTGGATTATTTAGAACTTTGGTGTAATACGTTGTAATCTTGTCTCGACGGGTCGCTAACTTAGAGAAAGTTAGCGTCATTAGTTTCTGATATCGCGTCACATGGAAATATCGCGATTCACGTTCCGCGCAATTCTTATTTTCAGTGTTCGCGTGCTTTTTCCTGCGCCTTTTGCATCTTGACATACTTAGTTTTTTTTGTCGTGAAACTTATAATTTGTTATCGATACGAGATCACGGACAATCCTGTTGAATTGAATTGTGGTCAAGTGGAGAGATATAGGTAGCCTCCAACTTTCACATAAGTAAACTGAATTTGCACCATGTAATGCGCATAGTCTCTGAACTGCAGTGTATCGCCTGAGTTGACGGGCTTTCCGTAAATTGCTATTTGAATTTCGAACACGTGTATGTGAATAGGAAGGATATGAATCAGTTTCACCCTTTCCAAGTTTTTATTTTTGAATATTAAATGAATTGAATATAATTACACGTATATGTATTAAATATTCAGAGAATTTTATAATACATCATATTTATTTTTTTTCATTATCGGCTACAGCGTTATTGAATGCGTTTTATGAATAACGAAAATTTATGAGATACTCCGTCCAACAATTCCAGAAAATTTAACAGTACTCGGCAGTATGTTTTATTTATTATCATGCATTGTGTCCGTGTACTAGTATAATTTAAAATGCTTTATAGAGATCGCACACATGCTCACGACAACAGTTCACAATCGAGTTCACAGCTGCTGCATTATGTGACCGTTCGTCAAAACAGTTTGCACATTTCCCGGTGCATTTTAGCGCGCGAAAGTGGTCCTTCTTCGCCCCGGCAATAATAGTTACATTGATAAAATGGTAAAAGTTCGCAGCACAGTTGCGCAATGCGAATCAGTGTCGGACGTTTTTCTCGCGTATGATTATTTTTCAAGCGCAATAATCATAATAATTTTACGGAGAATATGCATTTGAGAATTCGCACCTGCATGCACAAAGCCTAAACGCGTTCAATCCGCTTTCAAATTGAAACGTATAAGTGATGGAACTTTGGCAACCAATTTCCGTCGCGTCGCGTGCGACGGTACTGCAGTCAAAAAAAAGTTGCACGAATGTACTTCGTGAACTTCACTGAGGTGGACGAACACGTTTAAAAATATGACTCGGTAAAATTTCCAATGCAAAATGCGGAAAAACGTTATCTCGGCGTTATTCGTGCCACTGATCGAATTAAATAGAATTGTGTCGGAATAACTTAACTGTTGCCATCGTTTCTCCCTCTCTCTTTCTCTTTCTCTTTCTCTCTTTTTTATTTGCAAAGGTAATTTAATCCTTTATTTCCATATTTCTATGACATCATTGAAAATTAAAAACTAACCAATAAAACGATATGTTACGGGTATGAAACGATATTTTTTAACAGAATGTAATCCTGAAGATTTTCAGAAATTCTGCAGTTCTGGACTGCCAGTGCTAATAAAAATATCGACGTCAAAGCGGCTTCGGTCGATCGGGGCGTCACGCACTTTTCCCGAGCGCCAAACTGTCTATAGCTATAACTTTATCGAAATTCCCGGAAACCGTAACATCCACGAGAATAAAAAACAAAAATTTGCCGAATTCCACTGAGGTCCAACGTTCCATGTTTCATGGAAAAAATCGATTGACACCAAAAGCATTCGATGTCACAGCGTAAAAGTTACATCTACCTCGATTTATCATCGATAACATCGATCATATTTCGCACGGAAATTCTCGTTGCAAACTTATTGATACCTTTCTAGCCTGCAGTTGTAATCCCTTTCATTCTCTATCCCGTTTTGTTATTTATCGTCTATAGGATGATCCTCATATTACACATATATAAAATATTTAATATTATTAGGATTAACATATATATATTTGATAGTAATATATTTAATAAACGTTTTTATTTTATTATATGTAAATCTTATCGCGTTTAGATAATATAATTAAATGTCTATATTTCACACACGTTCTTACATATAAATATTTTTTTTTTTTATATTAAATTTCTAATGTTAGAAAGAAAAATTATACCCAAATTGATTTATTTTTAATTATTCCCATAAGTCCTGTACATAAATTCCTGTACATAACATGTCGTCAATTTAACTAAAAATATGTAATAAAATTGACTCAAATTTATGTAGGTACTTTATCATTTACTAAATGCATACGTTAATGTGAACACTTACTTTGAAAAGTTTGCAAATTTAATTACAAAAATAGGTTGATTAGATATTGTCTTTTTAATCACATGCGTTTTGTATTAAAATAATACATTTTGACACATTTGGCAGTTAAAATATACAAAATTTTATTTAACTTAAAGAATTAAGTGTAAAAAGAAATGGTTTTTTTTCTTTAATATTTTACAGTGCTTTCATTATAATTAATTTTTCTAATTCCAGTTGCGAGCGTGGATGGTTCGAGCTTCAATATCACAAAAGTGAACCGGCTACATATGGGTTCCTATTTATGCATCGCATCCAATGGCGTACCTCCTTCCGTCAGCAAAAGAATAATGCTCACTGTGCATTGTACGTATGTTCATTCTTTGTATGTTTTATTTTTTTAATTTGGTCATATTTATTTTAGAGTACATTGTACAAAACATTGATTTTTGGAAGAAGCATATTATTAACATAAAATATGAATAATTAATTGTAACATTAAGATAGCAAGTGTTGATAATTTATTTAACTGTTAGAAATATGAAAAAAAGAGCGAATATGAAATAAACATGAGAAATGACATTTTGTATTCACAAAGCTGTACAATAAGGAGTAGCTATTAAAAAAGAGTTATATGCAAATTATAATCAAGCGTTTGTGAAAGAGAAATATCGTGTATTTTAAATTTTAAAAGTTTGCGTACATCGTCATTGTTTCAGTTCCACCGATGATTTGGGTTCAGAATCAATTAGTCGGCGCTCAAGAAGGGCAAAAATTGACTCTAGAATGCTATTCAGAAGCATTCCCAAAGTCTATTAATTATTGGACTAGAGATCAAGATAAGATTGTGCCCCAAGGTAAGCGTTTACTTTCAATAAATATTAGCTCAAACAACACACAAAGTTTAAAAGGGAACGTCTTTAAGACGTCCTTCAGATGATTCTCACAAAAATGTCTTTAAGATATCTTTCAGGCGTTTTTAAGATATTTTAAACTTTGTGTTGTCTGGGAATTTACTTGGACAAAATGTAAACTAGATACGACATGATCTGTCAACGGTAAATTAATAATGAGAATTCACCGCGAGATATTTTACTATATGATGTTAGATTTGAGCGTAATGAGAATTTGCGGTCGTTCGTCGCGGGAGAGACTCTTTCATCTCATGAAAGAGTCATGACCCGGTGGAAAGTGGGATGACTTTACAATTTTGTAATATGCATCACTCACGACACGCACCTATCGTACTTTTTGATGATTCATGTAATTTCACGAGAGAGAGAGAGAGAGAGAGAGAGAGAGAGAGAGAGAGAGAGAGAGAGAGAGTGTGTGTGAGAGTGAGAGAGAGAGATAATTACACCCCCAACGCGTATTCCTTCGCCTAGTGTGCATTCGCGAGGAAGAAAAATAACTGGTTGTAACAAACCCTCTGAATAATAAAAGCTTCATACCGAACGCATAAACACGCACACCGGCGAAGCGCGAGTATGAGCGTTTTCGCTGTGCTTTATGCGCCGTCTGTAAAAGGCAGCTTCAGTACTTCGCATCGATCTCTTTCGGATCCGTATCTCTTTCAGAAGCGTATTATGACGTACATATACAAACTTCCATGTCGAGCTCATTCAGTCGTTGCAGGAAGCTGTACACAGTTACGCTGCACTTTTGTGGCAGAAGAATTAATCACGCAATAATCGCTGCTTGTTCAAAAAGCAAGGCGCGTAATAATAAAAAAAAATTGACCGTACTATTATAATTCTTATATCCTCTGCTGCCTCTACATGCTTTTTGTAACTTTATTTTCCGTTACCGCGTGTTTGGTACACAGTTGGAAAATTTGTATGAAATTAAATGCAAGATTAATATGTACATACATATATGTTAAATTTGTGTGAAATTTGACACATTTCCCAACAGTCCACCCATATTTAACACATTTATTGTAAAATTTATTCATTGATCTATTTAGCTTAGGATGACATTTTAACATACACTATTCTTATGTTACTCGTTTTTTGAGAACTATAAGTTTTATTATTTTAAAGAATATTGAATACCAATTTAACATAAAATGTTCAAATAACACGATCATATATAATCACTCGATTAAAAATTCAACATAAAAATTTTAATAGAGATGAATTTTAATCTAAATACAAAATATTTTTTAACTTGTATGTGCGGGAAATCACATTGTAAACTCTGCGGATAACATAATTATCCTATGTTATTGTAGGTGTATACGAAATATGCTTATGGCTTTCCAGCTTCTATTTAAACATAGTTGACAGAAATCTTCGGACGCGGGATTTACGTGTTAACACGATCGGCGGACGGGGTAGAGGGTCAAAAGTCACATTGTGTGCAACATTATTGCGTTCGATACAGATGCAAATGTTAACCACAGAGGTGATGTAATAACGGTCGGCACAGAAAAGGGCGATCTCGGCCATGTTTGGCGTTTATACACATACTCGTCGCGTCCTTAGCCTTCCTCATAAATACCAGATAAAATCGTGTTATACCTTTAACGTGCTACCGGGATTCGCATGCATTATTCAGAGGCTAATTCCGGTCGAATAAACGACCCGAAAGAAGGAGCCGCGCGAGATGTTCGCGCGCGCGGCTGATACTACTTAAATAAATAAATCTAACGGTATTAAAAACTAGATTGCCTCTTGTATAATCGCCATATTCCACCCCTCTCTTTTTCTCCTGTATCTATTTCGAAGATATACAGGGCCGAACCGCCGTGTAAATTAAAAGCAGCGCCGTGTTTCTCCGGTAGAAACTCATTTAAGGAATTAACTTCTAGATTAGATTCATGGATAAAATGGCATTAAAGGATTTTATTCATAGGAGAATTTAAAGATATCGTTCTTTATGCATTGCTGAGCGTGCGCTGATCAATAGTAATGGGATTAATAGCAGTAAAGCGAAACGAGGGAGATAAAAGTTAAATTTTGATCGCGTAAACACCGTTGCATATAAAATTCACTTGCCCGCTCGATAAATTATGCGGTACGAAAAGTGGAAGATTTTTTTTCAAGCAAATAGTATGAAATATTAAAGACAAAATAAAAGGCGAATGAGAGTATAACCACGTGGTAATCAGTGCGTAAAGATTTTCAGAGAAAAGTATAAGATAGAGAAGTAATTTTTTTTATAGGGGGGTTAGCAGAAATTTTTAAAAAGATTGAGATTGCATAGTGTATTCTATTAAATATTTGAAATATATTTTATTGGTGCGATGAGGGGGGGGGGGAGATAGAGAGAGAGAGAGAGAGAGAGAGAGATTTTGTTAAGTTCTCCAAATTACTCTGCTTTATCTTATTTACTCCATGGTTGTATCAAAGAATTGGACATTTTAACTTCATTCAAGCCATCTTCAATAATATTTACAGTTTTTTTGTATTTATGTGTTTTGATATTAGATAAAATACCTTCAAAAACTTTCATCATAATATACAGAAATGCCACTACCTAGTAAACATCAACTAAAAGTAGCATAATATTGATATAATATTCATATTCAACAATATAAATATTACTATACAAGTGCAATACATTTATAAGTTGTATATAATAATTACGTTGTTGAGTGTAAAATTATAATATTGATGTTATGTTATTTTTAATTGCTAGATTAACTGAGTGAAAACTAATGCAAATCAGAAAACACAAGATTACAATAATTGAAATTTTATTGTTATTAACATAAAAACACTCACAATAAAAATATTATAATGAAGAATGAATTATAATATTTTTATTGTGAGTGTTTATTAATACATCAATTGCTAAAATAATTTGTCGTTAAAGTAAAATAATTTAGTCAAGTGAAAGTCAAAGATTAAATAAAGATCAAATAAAAATTTTAATCTACAGACACCATCGAAACATAGATGCTTTTATTAATCTACAGTCGCGACGGAAAACCAGGAAACTTCAGGATCTGTAGATTAAATCATCCTGGAAGATCACTGTCAATGCATTTTTGTGAAAGCCAAAGGGCTATTTTGTTTGTCTTTTTTTATGTTACATATTCGTTACTGTATAGTGCACTATGGCATGAAGGGCCGGGGTTGGCCTCGGGGCGGCGAAAACGTTCCATGTGAATTGTACGTCCGTGCATCCAGTATTTTCTTTCATTTCTTCGGCCAATTTCCATTTGCGTCTAATTGAAAGCATTCAAATAAACAGAACCGACGGAACGAACTGTGATTGTGAAAATTTCATCTCGCTCGCTTTTGACCGAGCTCATGTCAGAATCCACGAGATTGCACGTCCCGCATTTCTCCTTTTTTGCACTCGACTATTTGGCCGCGAACGTGATCAAAGCTAATACGGGCTGACGTTTGTTTCTGTCGTTGGACCGTTAAGTTATTCTTCATGAGATTACATCGATGGGAGACGCCGCAAACAACGGAGGTAATATATTCGCCCTGGCGATTATGCGCCAGGGGGTGAGAAATAAATCGCGAGCCGGAAGGGCACACGGAATGCATGTACGAATGGCGTGACTGGAAAAATGATTGGAGGCGATTTCACGCGTTTTAACAAGACGTACCGTGATCGATGTTACGGTAGATAGTGTCGAACTCGGCCGTTTAGATCGGAAATAGTTCTTGGTGGTGACGTCAAACCTAGAAATACCGTGGTGTTCCATGAGGGAGAAACGATTGGTCAATCAAATAAGGAAGTGAATCATTTCGCTTTTTATATATCTTTCTTACAATCAAATTGCGCCTTATACATGTATACATAAAAAATTTGCGTATTAAAATAAAATAGTATAATGGAAATAAGGGGAAAAAATGGAAAAGAATGATTTTGCTGAAATATCTAAATATTTATCCTAAATATTACAAGTATCTATATTTAAATACTTATCTAAATATAGATTTAAAAATAATTTTATTTGGATCATAAAATATAATTATTAGGAGGACGTTATAATTAGTAGGACGTTCAAATAACTAGTTGTTATAATATTAGCATGAACTTTTTGCAGCATTTTATCAATATTTCAGCATTCTATAATGCTAATTATTTTGATTATTCAATAAAATTATTTTTAAATCTATAGCTAAGAGTTACTAAATATTTGAACAAAACCGTTTTTTTGTGTGAGTATAATGAAATATAAATTGGATATAACAGATATATAATATCAAATCTCAATTTTTGTTACATTTTTGTTATCAATAAATTAAAAATGGAGCGATAACTTCTTGGTATCTTCGGTATAAAAATAAAAACCTATAAAAATGCAACCATTTTCATTAAGTATTCCAATATTCATAGAGCTATTTCTATCAGGGCGGTTTCAATAACCTACATTTTCTGGCGACTCACTCTGTATAATTCAAGTTTTGTCCTACACAAACCGAATCACCTCTAAATCGTTCACGCCAATAGTAACGTACAATAGAAACGGAATTTTTCCCTCGGAAAGAAACGGAACGCCAAACTGACAGAAATCACCAAATTCTAGCATTGGGGCAAGCAATTTTTACAAAAGCATTTGTCATCTCAATAATTTTCTCTACCTATGAAACGGCACGAAAAGAAAGTTTCTTGTCTTTTCCTTTTTAAGCACTCGTACAGGAAGACTTTGTAGCGATTTGGTAGATTCTTAAAGAGTAGAAAAGTCGGCTAACTCCAAAAGTATTAAAGAGCGTTATTTCGCTTTGCTCGTTATATTCGCTAAATATTAAACATTAACTTGCGAGATGATAAAATTACAGTTCAGACAGTTTGCGTAAATCCTTGATATATAGGAGTTTGTTGGCATAATCCAGAAATTCTTCATTTTATTGAGCAGCGATTGATGGTGATTCAATATATTTCGATCGAATATATAGAGTAAAAAATTTTGTATTTGTATTAAACTGGTTCTTGTTAAAATTTTTGTGTTGAATTTTTAATATATCTGAATATGAATTTATAACATAATATGATTGTGTTATTTGAACATTTTATATTGAATTTATATGCAGTAATACCGGATTTGATGCGAGAGTCATGAGAAAGTATTAACATATCAGTGTTAAAATAATACTGATATACTGATGAGTAAATTTTACGAATAAATAATCAATTGATATAAAAATAATGTTTTTTAAAATGTAAGTTCTGAAATGAAGTATGCATACGATGAATAAAATATGTTAACATGTTATAAATGTTAAATATATTGAAACATATTAATTTACCATATTATAAATGTTAATTTTAATAAAGAAATATGATTGCTTACAAATTGTATCAGTGTTACGTTTTTTGTATTAATTTTTTTTACATAATTTTTGTTACTCTCTAACATGTTCATCTTGTGTTAAATTAACACACAAATTTTTCAATTGTGTATAAATTTCAGTATTATATCTTTATGTTAATTTTTTACATAATATTTTACATAAATTTATATTTATTTACTTACTTTTTATAAGTTTAATTCCTATAATGTAAGCTGTTTTTCTTTTAGGAGTTACAATCAACACACTACCATTCAGTCTTTATTAATCATTGAATATTAAAAGGAAACAAATTAACTATGTTTCCTGAAAAGAAAATAATACTATATTTATGATATGTGATTGAATTAACACAAAAATGTTAACAAAAATTTGTATAGCACGTGAAATGTGTCAAGTTTAACATTTTTCTAACTGTGCAAGTCAATCCTTTCCGAGATATCCTCGTGATAGACATTTTCACATTTTTGTTATACTTTTCGCTTTTCAATACCTCGAACGAGTTATTCAGTACCACGCGCGTCTATATACCATTCAAAACGCCGGAAATCGTCTTTGAGTCTGAAGCTACAATTTCGAGCCGTCGCCAATGATGGTCAAGACGATTTCTATGCCTCGCATTTGCCTCATGTGACACAACTCGCATAATCAATCCGAACGTCTAAGATCATCCTACGTTTTATTAAGACGACTGGTAAATCGGTCGGCTGCCGATCGACGCTCGTAATAAATGGCGTTCGATTTCGGGTCGGAAACGGCCGTTCAGATTCGACAGTCTACGAATTCTCATGGCTGTCGAAAGTAACGTCACAATAGTTCAATCAGCCCGGAAGATGGTAGCGCCGGTACGTACCGACGTCGCGACTATTTCGATATTCGACGCGCGACGGTCTTAAGTTAACGTGATTTCGGTTTCGAACGGCGCCATTCAACGGTGCTTCCGGTTCTCGGTCCAGAAGAAGATCTCAAACGGCGTTTTCCGGGCGTGATGTCGTACGAAAAGCATCAGCACGGAATGCAAAACGGAACAATAAAAGAGATACAATCGTTGAACTGAAACGTACTCTAGATTCGTCTCCGAATGGATTCGGAACGGATAATGCGCTTTCCGTGATCGCGAATGTTGATATTCACAATTTCATGTTATTACGACCACGTTTACAGGATTTGATGAGAATCGTAAATTGACAAATTGCATATAGCGAATGCAATGGAGATCATAGGAGAATAGATATTTGCAAAATTATTGGATAATCGCTTTGCGGTGCATCATTTCGATAAAAAAAGCTGTATATACATGTAGTGATTTTCGATCTGTTTTCATTACCTGGATCTCACATGTTGGCAAAGTCAATTTAAAATTTATAGTCACGTTTATTCCCGAACGAGTGACAAGTGGACAATAATTTTCGAAACTCGAACAAAATTCCACATCAATCTTTCACAACGATAAAGAAATTTAATTATATGTAACGGAAAACGTATGTTTTGTCCACACGTTTTGTTACATTGCACTGCTTAAACTTTCATGACAGACTTCCGGGACGGGTTGTATTGAAAAACCCACGTTCGTAAAATCAATCACGAGACGAGGGAAAAAGTTTCACGAGACACGGTTGTCGTCCAAATAGATCGCGTCTGTCACTCATTAAATCGCTCGATCGACTTCTTGAGACAGGAAATAATTAGGAAATAGGCCTCTTCGTTGAATTCCGATTTTCCCCATTCCATCGTCGCCATTATTCCGAAGGCGCACCGCGAGTCGAATTATTTCTATGAGATTTTTCACGTATTGTCATCACGCCAGTTGACCCACATACCATGGATGAGCGCGAAGGACGGACGGTTATTTAAAAGCCTTCGATTACCGCCGCATATTCCGATAAAAATACCCGCGATCCTGTCGTACTTCTATTTTCGAGCTCCACCCGAAAGAGTAAATCACGTCAAGGGAATGACAGGTAACCCCGGGCAAACGGTGACTGACAGCACATGACGGGAAAGCGATGTTTTTTTTTGTTTTAATTTTTTGTTTTAATTTTTTTTTTTATTTCGGTATGCGCGCTGGCGCGTCCGGTTGATTTAAGCGTGATTTTTTTCTGGAATTGGGACAAAGAGCGTAGATATAATGTCTACGTACACATATCATTTCTTTTTTTTTTAGAGAGAGAGGGAGAGAGAAAAGAGAGCAAGTATATATATCACTCTCTAATTCGATCGACGTAATCCGTGCGACTACCGCGGGCATCATTTATTCCAACGATAATGAAAAACGAAAAAAAACGCCACAAAATAAAACTGCACAGCATATTACTGACTGGGATTGCGATCTGTTTGCAGGAGGAAAATACGATCCAGTACTGAAAGATAACGCGTACAAAATACACATGAGGCTGACGATAAACTCCGTCAGCCCGACGGATTACGGCTCGTATAAATGTGTGTCCAGGAACTCGTTGGGCGACACTGACGGCAGCATTAAGGTCTATCGTAAGTATAACTATGGGCATCGCGGCTCTGAAAATTTTTTTTCCCACTGCAACGTGTATTAACGATTTCGCGTAATAGCCGTTGTCTCGTAGAACTAATATCGCCGAGGAATTCCGCGGAATAAATTGTAGTAAAATTTTACGCCGTTATGCGAGATACTTCGCGAAGCGTACTTCGGATTCGACAAAACAGCGGCGCCGTGTGCCTCACTCGTGTAGCGTGTTGGCTGCAGCTTATTAAGCAGCAGCTGCGTTAAAATAGTTGGAATTTTTACCGAGATAGCGACTGAAATCCCGAGGCGCGAGGCAAGGCCAAGACCTTATATTCTTAAAAGCGCCTGCGCTTATGAATAAAACAATATTTCGCAAAAATATTCTCTGGCGGCCATGTGCGCAAGAGGACGAAGATCCCGATTCGGAATCACGGGAAAAGTTTGTCGGACGCACTTCAACATTTCGCGCTATACTTAAGGAGTCGCGAGTAATATTCGCTAAAGTGCGCGCGAATCGCCCGGATCCTGAAAATAGACGACCTGCCGTGGAAATTGTTTACACCCGTAAAGTGAAAGATAACAAGGAGTTAGAACCTCCGCGAGTTAGGGCAGTGTATAAACAAAGTCGCGAGTTAGAAAGTGTGACTTGAAAAGACTATCGCGCGTTATTGCTCGCCTCGTTATTTCTTAGCTACTGCCGCCGGGCCTTATCGAGCCATCCCCTTTCCGAAGATCCTCACGACTCGAGAGATCCTTCAGCTCACGCTTTAGATATCTGACGTCACTTTGAAGTACACGATGCAGCGTCGTTTGAATAATATTGAACGCCGTTATTTACTTTTCAGCAATATCGGGCTCCAATTCCAGCATCACCAAGTACAAAGGTAAGTAGCATTTTCTACTTATGCAGTTGACCGAAAGAGAAGTTTTGCTTTTTGCACGAAGAATAACTCTTCGTGCAACGAAATTAGTGTCAATATTTTGTAGTATAAATATAAAAAGTATATATGTAAAATTACATAAATAATATATTTAAAAATTACAAAGTTTATAGTGGAGAGAGAAAGAGAGAAGTATATAAAATTGTACATTTTTATAAAAACTATTATTTTTATTTCTAAAACCCGAGGCACATTAATTAATGCGATTTTTCGTGCTAGATTGCATGCGATTTAGTAAATTACTAGAATTGCACCACACAGAACGCAGAATTTCTAGTTGAGTAATTTATGTCGCATGCGATCTAGAATGAAAAATCGCATCGTGTGCCTTTGGTTTAAATGCATAGGTGTATTTGTATATTAGAAATGGAAAATGATAATAACAATAATATATTTTGTGTAATTGGACGAACTGTTGTAATATTATGTAACGTAATAGTAATATTTACATGTTTACATTTGTATACATCGACATGCATTAACTGCATTTTATGTTCACGACATCCATGTGAACATCCTTCTTTAATTATAAATAAACTTAATTTTAATTAATGATTAATAATTAACTTAATTTTAATTGTAAACTTATTTTTACAAGTTGTTTAATTGTTTAATTGTTCAAGTATTTAATTATACAAAAGAATAATTATATTTGTAAGTTGCAACTTTATTAACGTGTGTAAATATACATCTTTAATAGCGACATCCAAAATTACTCGCTATAATTTGTAATTTTACATAAAATTTTTTATGGTGTATAATGTAATGTAATATATCGTAAAGCTACTTTTTCAAAAAAAATTACACTCGTCTGCCAGATCAGATGCATTAATGAGGGGAAACCTTTCGAATGTAAAGAGATGAAGGGACTCGCGACTTAATTTCGAAATTGCTTTATGAATTTCAATGGAATGGCTTCGTAGAGATACTAAGCCATTAATTAATTAACTGCTTCATTTCAATTTCGTTGCACGAAATATAAATCGATCGCCCTTACTGCTCGCTTTGTATTGAGAGGTACTTTTGAATGATGAAGCGCAGTGTACTTGTGGCGGACGGACGGGTCGCTGATTAATTAGATCGAGTAGCCAGTTTGTGCGATCGGATCCGCGCATCGTACGCTTGAGTTGAACCAAAGAAACAAATTTTTCGACATTGTGTAATTGAACATTGTGCTTGTGTACAATCTCTTACAAAGATTATTATCCATGCAAGTGCTTTACGCCGATTTGCTTTTTTTTTTTAAATATAATCGTTTAAAAGATTTTTCAATTTTAAACCGAAGAAATACGAATCTAAGAAATTTTTATATTTATATTTTTTTGTACGTGCCCAATTTCAAACTTAAAGGATAAAACATCTTTTAAAAATGTTATGGTCAACTTAACTTTTTTCAACAATATCTTTGAAATTATATTGCACCGAAAAAATATGAACAGCTAACGTTTATTTTGCTTTTTATCATATAGAATTAAATAATAATAAGCTCTGCGAAAATAAAACTGGGGAATTTTATCGAAAAAAGGGATAAATAAAATATTATTATTGCGCTATTTAATTTTATGATATTTTATGAAAAATTGAATCAACTTTATCTGAAACATTTTTCGATGAAATATATATAATAGTTTCGGAAATTTTGCCGAGAAAAGATTTTAGCCATAAAACTTTTTAAGAGGTGTTTTATCTCTTGAGTTATCTTTTGAGATTGAATATGTATAAAAAGATATGTATTTCTTATATTTCGTAATATTCAACACGTTCCGTGCCGTGTCAATCATCAATAACGTACGCTGGACTTTCCGCCGTTTGATATTGTAGTTACAAAAAGAAACGTACTTAAGTAATTCTTGATATTATACATGAACATATAATTATATGATACAAATAATGTACCATTATTTGTATCATAATATATAATAGGCCATGTTTTAATATTTTTTTTAACTATTAAAATATGTTATTTGACAAATATAGTATCCATGCGACATAGTCACTTACAATCAGATCACTTAAATTGGCGCAAAACATGTTAATAAAAATCTTATATGAATAAACATTAAGCAGACAAAAATGTCTTTCTGAGGATGTATCCTCAACTGTAGTCTAATAACCCTAGAATGCAACGCAAACGCTTATTATTTTCCGGTACGCTCTCAAACATCGCTACGATTCTCGGAATGTAATTTCTATTAACAATATCGTAACAGGAAACGTGTACACGATCCACCGCGGAGAACGCAATTCAAAAGCGGCACGTTCGTGCGAATCTGTGTCACCCGCGCTTGTTAAGGCATTTCAAGTTTTCCATCCGACCAACTTCGAGCTTCTCCATCGTCGGCTTTAAGGGGTCGGCACTATTTCAACATGAAATCATGGATGAATAGGAGCCGTCGTCATGTCGGGTTTCGTGGGCCGACCGTTTACACGACAGGCTGTTGTTGCGAACAGGGCCACATTAACTTATCTCGCGTCTATTACGCATATGAAATATTTTGAGCGCCCTTTTAAAATGTAACGTCACCTGGGTAAAATTTTTTAAGTAATTAGATTAATTTAAAAATTAATTTTTTCGAAATCTTTTTAAAAATAATTTACTTATTTGAGAAGAACAAAAATAACAAAGAAATATACAACAGGAGTACACAATTTGATAAGTACATTGCTCATAATAAGAATAGAAAGTAAATTTTATCTTTGTGCATTATACATTGCGTTTCACTATGAATTATCTTATTTATAGCTCTTGATTTTAAATTATTTTTCTATTATAAAATGTCGCCCTTCGAAAATTGTTACTCTGGGCTATACAGCCCAAGTACAGCACTGGTCGCGAGCGAAACGCGCACAAAAGTCGGCGTCGGGCTTCATGCAAGTTTGGTGCAGAATGTACAGTGGTTCGCGCGCATATATCTACGATAGCGGAGATAGACGTTCAGAGAAACGACTTTTTAAAGAGACCCGGATGAATAACGTTTCGGCTCCTGCACCTATCGCGCCAACCTGCTTTTCATTGCGATAGAAAAACGGCAAAACCAAAGTTCTCCCCGCAAAGGGACCGCCTCTTCGGCTTTCCTCTTGCGCGTCGCGTTAACGTCTCACGGTTGTGCGTAACATACTTTTCCCTAAGTAACCTGGCGCATATCCGTTAAAGAAATAGAAGTTCCTTGGAAAAAGAATATTCAACGTGGGGAAGATTTAAAAAAAGGGGCACTTTGCAAAGTTGCGGTTTTAGCAGATCGTATATACATATATGTGTGTATATATCATTATACATACATCGTTTTATATGGGAAAATATGTATTTTCTAAGATTTTAAGAATGTATCACATATATCTTTTTAACAAGATGCGAGGGTTATGAAAAAATTACATTTTCTCTATATATATTGTATCTGAAAGTGATACAAAGGTTAGGCGGTGATTTAGAATCTGGATCAAATATTATTTCAATTCAGTAGACATTTTTAAAAAGTAATTAAAATAAAATAGGGAAATTTTCATTTAAATTATAAAATTTTATTGTTAAATAAAAAATATTGATCTTATTGAACTGTGTGTTTCAAATGTATATTTTTACCATATATGAAAAGTATACCTTTTCAATTCCAGTTAACTTTTGCAGTGATTATATACATCTGACCCTTAAAAACTATAATACAACTGCACTAATACTGTAACATGATAAAAATATTGTATTGGGCATGTTTAAACATTGATGGTAAAATACTCAATCTCTCGTCATTCAAATTTCCTAATAATATCATACATTTATTTGATATAATAATGTATGTTTAAGTGATAATGGATATAATATTACTGAATTTATTTTTAGTATGTAAATGAGTATTGAAGGGGATAAAATGGCGGGCAGAGACGTTTAGACGTTAGAGTACCAATTCGCGAAAGACTCTCTTCTCTCTCAACGCGGTATTTCGAGTACGCTGATGTATTCAAAGAGATAATAATACAGGAAGAGCTTTGTGGAACAATACATCGGCCCCTCAAAGGAGATGGTAAATTACATGTCAGTGCGCCGTGCCGTACCGTGCTTCACTGTATTTCGTTGTGCTCTGCCCGAGTATTAACTAAGCGCACGTAAAGTATTTTGTTATCTACGTTGGGCTTTTTCTCTTTCCGCTACAAAATGTATTCATCGTCGAAACATCGCACAAAGGAACAATATACCGGTCTATATTTTTGTAAACTTCCAATCCTGTTTTAAGCTTTCATAAATCGAATATTTTGAATATATTTGCAAATAATCTACCAAATGATTATACTGTATTATAAGGATTCTTAAATCCTAAAAAATAATACAAGTTAAAACAAATGAAAAATAATACAAATTAAATTCCATCACTCATAAATCTTAAGAAGTCAAGAACTCTATTTTTAAAAAAATTCTAAAAATTTAAATTTGTCACAACACTTCTTTTACTTTATAGAATAAAATACATATGAATCTCATTATTCAGGTATTGAAAAACAGAAACCTTGTAAATCAATATAATTTTTTGGTATTAAATGTTACCAATATAAATTTTATTATCTTAATATATATATATATATATATACAATATTATTATCTTTTTTACATATATTATTTGAAACATAAACAACAAGAAGGGTTTTATATCGTCACATTTACTTTCATACATATCATAAAAAAATATATACCTATTACATATCATATATTACAAATTTACGTCATTGCATAACAAATTCTCAAAATAGAGTTTTTAAAAAACAAAAAGATTTATAAAAAAGAAGACCCATTATACTTATTGAGAAACAAAAAGTTGATAAAAAAATTGTTGCATTGCATTATCAGTTAACAGTTATCAGTTTCGGTGATTACTACTGCAAGGATGTAAAAATGTTTACTCGACATTGAAACGTTGTACGCGTCTTCTCGATCGTACTGTTATAATGTAATATAACTGTCGCGTATGCATACTACATCAGGATGAAAAACGCCGATATAAAACTCAGCCTTTGAAGCACGTGCTTTAAGGCACTCTCGTCGGTCGCGATATAGTTCCAAGGCGCTTGAGAGTCTTCGCTCGCTGCTTTAATGGTTCATTTCGCAACGGGAAAACTTTAAACATCTCGCCCCGTCTTCGCTTTATGGCTAATCGATGTTTTTACGGCCGCACGGACTCCTCTTGGTCGCGGAATACGATTTCATCGCGAGTCTTTATGCAGTTGCCGCAACGCGACGTGCAGGATAACGGGATATAAACGCAATATAAACACGAATTAATTCGGCATATACGCGGTTAACGCCTCTTCATAAATCAGTTCGTTATAACTTTGATTACCTTTATAATTCAAAAACTAGAAAAAAGCTTGTAAACTAGAAAAAAGCAAACTTAATTATCAATGTGTTTATTTACAATAATTAACAATATAATAGATCAGTACAATCGTATCATAGACGCTTCATCTCAATTTGGCGTCTCTTTAGTATTTATTATACAATTATATAAGAAAAATAAAAATACTAAATTCCTTCATTCATATATGATCAATATTAAAAGTCAAATTATTGAAAAATTGAAATCATTAAAAATGTGAAAGAATTGAATGTTAAACATTCAATAAAGTTAAAACTGTATAAAATTTAAATTAATAATTAAATTAAAAAGCTTAAATAAATAGATGAAAAATTGCATCTTAATGAGATTGAACTTTATGACAGACAGAAAGTTAGTTACAAATAATCTTCTCTCCACATTATTAGATATCAAATGAACACTAGTAATCCAATCTCTTAAGTTAAATAACGTTTTGTCATTTTTAAATTCCATGTATGTCAAAATATAAATCAATTTATTTCCGTAATTAGTTTCACAGTAAACAATGTCTATATTAATATATACATACATATAATCAACTAATCAAATTTAATACATTTTTTGAAGTCGAATTGTTTAACTCAATTTTTGTAGTTAAATTAACATCATATATATGTATATATATAATATAATACGTTAGTGTAATATTAACACCAACATGAGAATTGCATAGACACTGCATGATATTAAATCTACACCGATATTTTTAAAAGTTTATAAATCATTAAAAATAACTCATCTTGAGTATAATTTGACATTACGAATTTAACATTGCATACGGTTTGAAAAGATGTAGATATCCTCACTCTCTTGTGTAAACGCTCCATACATATTTTCGTTCATTCACGCTGAAGCAATATTTTTAGACCCATGTACGATTACGTAACCGTACATAGAAATCACGATAATTAGTAGTACGAAGGGCGTGTGTTGCTGGCAGTAATAAATATTCGGCACACGAAAGTGATGTCAGCACGACCTGTTTCGTAAAAGGCAGCTCGCTTTCATATTTCATCGAGAGTATCTTCCGCGCCATCATAATGAAAAATCCGGGATTTATTATTGACCCGTCTTCAGCGCGACTTCCCGTTCGCCCGGCGCCGGCGGCCGGAAATCGATATATGCAAAATATTTTGATGCCAACAGATTGGGAGGCGACGTTACGTTACACGCGCGAGGGAAGATTTATTAGAGATACCGAGTTCCAACGCCCTGGGTCAATTTTATTGAACTCTTTTCACCTCGCCACATACGCTTAAATACATATATATACGTACCTCGATACGGGCGGACATAGTTAAATGTGCGAAGCAGTGTAAATACGACTGCTTCTGATAATGGAAAATTGAAATAGTATTATCGATGTTTCCGTTAAGGGTAAAGCGGATTTGGCATGTTCAGTTAGTAACTTTTAATAGGATTTGTTTTGCTCACTTTTATCTCCCACATGTCGGAGTAGTTAATGTACCTACCATGTTTTCTTGGCGGAAATATTAGTGGATAAAGCCACGGGTCAATTCTCCGGCGCACACAAAAGTAACGACGCGATGTCTTTGAAACTTCGCGCAGGAGAACTGAACAACGTGAAAGTAAACACGTTGGTCATAACGTAAGCCCTTTCACAATCTGCGCCAGACTTGCTCTATCAAGTACCAATGGTCTCGTTCCCATTCGTTCTTCTCATTACTTGAGAAAACACACGGTCCGAGCTGCATTTTTCACGGAGACAAACGAACTAGTGATCTCCCGTCGTGAGCAAAACGTTAGATCGCTTTTCCAATAGCGACAAGAGCATCCACCGTTCACTTTACCTCGTTTTTTTTTTTATATTGTTATTTAACTTTATACTCGCCGCAATTCTACGCAAAAGACAAAAATTTGATCGTGTTTTTTATAGACAGAAATAAACTCTCGGGGGCATTTTTTATTCATAAATGATAGCAGGATTATCACTACTTTGCTATTAGTAGATACATCACTGCGTTGGTAGAAAAATGATTTATCTCAAAATTAACAATTTTTCATTTGAACATTTAAAAAATTTTTAATTAAAACGGTTTAATTTAGATAGTAAATATGCAGACTCTCTATATAATTCCACTTTATGTTATATATACTTTCAGTTAAAGCACAATGTAATATATAGGTGCATGTAATGTATTATTTATATAAGTTTTGAATTTTTTAAATTTGAACACTGAACTTTATTTTCTCATTCCTTATCGAACTAAGCTAAAATGAACCACGTTTTTTCACAAAAATATATTAATAATTACTTAACAATTAATGTTTTTTCTATTTTAAAATACTAAATTTTACTTAATTTTTTTCAATACAATGATGTATGTAAAAAAAATACATTTTGTATTTATTTAAATCTGTATTTATTCTGTCACATAAATCTGTCTCAGAAACCGTTTTAAATCTCCGTGCCTATTGTCATTGCTACTTCCCGACAATTGATTTAACAACCGTTGTCATTAGTAGTTTCGTGACGTACCATCCGAAACCGAATACCACGTCGCAAAACAAATTACTTTAAAGACATTCAACGGGCACCAATTAATCAAGGAAGATGGAATGGGAAAACAACTAAAATAATCAATTGAATAATGTTTCATCCGTTAATTTATACGGATGGCCGACACTGAATTTCCCACGTTTACGTAACAGAGTAAAAGTTATTAAATAAATGTTGCTAATTGAGGTATGCATTTAATTAACAATTGTCGATTAATAAAGCTAACATCGATAGAAAATTAATTATACTGATTGTGAGTACATCAGATGAATAAAACGGAATATTCATAATTAGGTGTAGCTTATGAATAAAAGTTTTCGTAAATATTTATTCGGACAATATTGGCAATATCAAAATATAAACTTCGCTTCGGAGAGAAACGATATCGTTCAATATCTCGCTCTGTTTGCAGGTAAAGCAAGGCATAATTCAGGGAACAATAACATCCTAGAGGGAAATCAAGACATGCTAAAGGAACGAGGTATACACGTTAAATGTCAGAATTTAATTTTAACAAAGCTAATCTTTACTTCATTTTTCAATTCTTTCTAATATCAAGGATTCTATTAAATTTCAAATGTGTGTGTGTGTGTGTGTGTGTTGAAAATATGTTTTGAAAAAATTTTATAAAACATTTTAAGTTTGATAAAAATCCGCGATATATGGAAAAAATAAAAAAATTTTGTTGAAACTATTTAAAATTTTGTTAAAAATATTAACATGTTTCCAAAAAGATCGACAATAGTCGATGTGCGGTTTACTTGAACTGATTCTTGAAAGATTCATCAAAAAATATTAAGTTTCAAGCTCCATTTTGAACATATCCATCTTCGTTTATTTATGTGTATAAAACATTTTTGTGGTTTTTGTCGCAAAAATAACTTTTCCTGTTTTGGAAAGCGAACTTCTTAATCGCGTTTTGATCATATATATTTCACAATCTAGATTTGAAACTACGAGGTCGAAAGGAGAACGGCGGCGACGTAGCGGACTACGATGAATCCAGTGCTACTAGCAACGACAGCTCGTTGCTGCTGGTGATTCTTGTCGCGCTGTGTCTGTACCTCCATCATCATCCGCAGATGCGAACGTTACATCCGGCCTGAGATTCACCCAAGACGGTCCTGCACGCCATCGCACGCGTAATCCGATCATCAAGCCATCATCGTGACTTTGTACATCCACTTGTAAATCCATCGCTCAGGGACTTCTGTCGAGGATGAATATCGTCGAGGACTGCGTTGACCACTTTAAACTTAACAATAGAATAATAATATAAATAGCGTTAGAGTATGCGACGAACCCCGGCTGGTGCCGTTCGCCGGCGGAGTTTCGCTAAGGGAGGATTACGACTTAAGGGACAGTCATTACGGACAGTTTCGGAACCAGAGTTCGGCCGTGCAAATCTACCCCATGCGACCGAAATTACGTTATCATGTTGGGAAACGCCGGATTTATTTTAGGGTTCCATTAACGGCATTGCAAAGATAACTAAAACATCTATAAATTTCGAGCATTACTATGACTTTGTCAAAGTATTAATTTTTGTTAAAAAAGATACAAATTAAGTTATTCTTCCTCTTAATTCTTATCCTCTAGCTAGCTTAACTCTAAATTGAAAAGAAAGCTTGTATCTGTCCATAATGGATCATTTTATTTCTTTATATTATAGCTAGGCGATATTCTATGTAATCGAGATAACGTTGCATACAGCTAATAAATTCTTTATGAAATAATGTGTGAACAGTATCTTTTATCGGGTTGGAAGCATGTATTTTTAGTTTGCAAAACTCGATCGATTCTGATAACGAGCAGTAGCAAAAAATGTTTATTGAGACAAAATGGACATTTGCGAAAAAACGACAAAAAATGGACAGTTTGTACTGTTTCGCGTCATTTTTAATTGGCTATCCAGACAGTGTGTATATCCCGACGGTATATTCCAGTGTCGAACGATTATCACGAAACGATAATTAATAACGATGCAACAACGCGATGATGCGGCTACGCCAATTGCTGGTAAAGGCAGTTATTGCCTAAACGCTTATTAGATGAATTCTATGCTAAAACGGAACTGCCCAATTCAAAATAAAGGATCTCTGCTCGGACAGTTTCGTTCTTCGTTCACGCTCTGCTAATCTTTCTTTTTAATATTTAAACTTTTAAAAATATTTTAAGTACATTTCAAAGAATGCTATTTATACTTTGCATGTAAACCATATTGCAAGTAAGGCAAGAAAATTATCAATAATGAAATCAAATAAAATTGGAAAAATGGAAACTGTTGGAGATGCACTAGATGTCCAGAAAATATCCGGTAATTTGTTACTATCTGATAAAGAATGAATAAAAATAAAAACCACATTAAAATTTGATATACTCGCACAAGATTATTTTTTATTTATTACAATTTTCTCTCTTACAAGCAATTAAGTTAATATGTATTAGTAATTTTCTGATTTTATTTCTTTATGACATGAAAGTGAATACTTTTTAATTTGTGATATTACTACTCCAGTTTCGGTTTAAGACAGTGTTTCAGAATCGATAAATAATTGGCGCAGAGTGCTTTGAACTGGAAATTGTATGAATTTACAAGAAATATTATGAGGCATCAAGAACTGCCTTGACCAAATATGGCGTTTTTCACACAATTGTTTAATTTCATTGATCGATATTATTTAATATTATGTTTATTCAATATTATTTATTTAATATTATTTAATACTTTTTAATACTACAAGGATGGCAGTGTTTTTTTTTAATTTAATATTATTTTAAAAAACATTTTATTTTTCTTCTTATGTGAAGCAATATCGTAATTCTTCTATTATAATTCTTTTTCAATTCTCTAAAAAATAGCGGTGTCATTTTAACACCAATGGTGTGGAATTGACACCCATATGGGTGTCTATATAATTCTCACCATATTGGTGTGAAATTAACACCGTTTGTTCGGTGTGCATAATTCACATTGTTGTGGTGTGAATTTCCACACAGAAAAAGGTGTGAATCTTAACACTACTAGCGGTGTGATTATTATATATAATATGGTGTTAAAAACACTGCAACATTAAGTTTACACCGTTATATTTACTCTACTCCCATACGCTATATATATTTGACCCAAACACGAAGGTTGCGACGGTGTAAACAGTTTATTTTTTGTGTTTAGATCAAATCATATAATATAAATACACACACACAATATTTGATTTAAATTTGATCTATATACACGAAAAATGAACTGTTTACATTTCGCAATCTTCATGTTTAAGTAAAAATGTTAAATAATATAGCGTACGGATTGCGGAGTAAACGTAACGGTGTAAACTCACTAGCATATATAATATATAGTACGTATTGTATACTTTGTATCTCATTGCGTATTATATATAGTATACATATGCATTGAAATAGCGTGCATTTTAACATTGATAATGTATTCATATATTATGTTATATGAAAATAATAATTTACATTAACAAAAATGCCTGTTTAAATGATTTATTTAATTGTTTATTATAAAAAACTGAAAGTTTCCTTATTTAATCTGTTTAAAGTAATAATGACCTTAGTATCACATTAATGAGACTTATAATAAGAGACTTTTTGCTATATAGTTATATAATATATTTGTTAAATTGTTAATGTTGAAATATTGAAAAAATGAGTACTTTTCAAAATTTAATTTAAGAAATAAAAACAGCATATTTCTTTTTAAAAAATATAATGCCGAGGAACGATATACATTTCATTAGTCACTCCAAGTGGACTATGTATTTCATAAGACTGAGGCCAAATTAATTCTTTTACATTACATGTTATATTGTGTTCCTCTGCAAAAGCACAAACATAAGCTTGAAACTGTTCCGAGAACGATAATGTTTGCCATTCAGATAGTAAGAGAAATATGTCATCTCCTGTCGAAATTAAAAATTTAATTTTCCAGAAAATTGGTAAATCGTTAAAAAATCCAAAACATACAAAAAAATGTTGACTGTATATTATACCGCAATATACAACCTAGTTTAGGAAATGCATTTCTTCTGCAGTAACGTTTAATGCCTGTTTCCACCAATGCAGATTAACTTATTAATCTCGGTTTAACTTACTGTTAATCTTTTTCTAATTTTTAGAATTAGAAAAAGACGAAGAGCAAATTGAACCGAGATTAAAGTTAATCTGCATTGGTGGAAATGGGCATAAGTCTTGTATCATTAGCAATTCCGATGCTTTATGTAATTTGGTTGGTCCAAATTCTACTTTGTTGAAAACATCAGTTCTTCTCCACACTGGCGGACAATGTATCAATTGTTGATGTTGAATGCTCTGTAGATGATAATCCTAATGCATAATACGAACATTTTTAAATATATTTTCTGAATGTAAACTTACAAATTAAATTACTGTTAAATTACATAATGGGCTTACCGGTAGCACTTAAAGCTTGTTTGCAAAAAATATTCAGAATAAAATCATCTGACTGCTTTTCCTTTATATATTCAATAAGTTCTTCAGAATCTATTTCAGTTTCATCAAAATCTTTAAACTTTATTTCTTCATCTCTCATTTCTGCTTTAAATTTGTTACGCACTATTAAAAAATAACTTAATTTAAAATTATTTATTATCTATACAAAAAGCAAGAATTGATTATTAAACAGTGAAACATGCAAACAAACGAATATAATAAATTTTTTAATACCAATAACTGTTGTAGATAAGAGATAAAAGAAATTATAAGATGTTTCGTAATTAGAAAATTCGTTTACTATGTTTGTCTAATTACCACGCTACACGTTTCACTACTTAATATATATTTATATTTCAATTTTAAACATATACATTACCTCTAACAATGAATTCTTCGGCTGTATCATTCGTATCTAAACGGACGAATTTTTTTACGTTGAAATATTTAACTTTAATAAGCATTATTAAGGTTACGTTAAATCCTTTCGATAATGCACTATAAACACACACAACAAGAATACTTATAATGTAATACAAGAATACTTTTTAATTCGAAAATATAAAGAAAAACGAAAACCTCTTTCCTAAGAGATTTCCGTATTCTCTCGTTAAAAATGTCGAACGTCCCACAAGACACACGACTAACGTAATCTCAAACGCTATGGCGATTGGTTCTTTGAAGTCACGTGTGGTGCAATCACACTCTGCACGGTGTGAAGACAAACAATACCGCATCAAAGTTTAACACCGCGTTTGTCGTGTGAAAGATTCACTATATTTTGGTGTTAAAATTCACACCAAATTATTTAACAACATGAATGTGGTTAAATTTCACACCGCTATTTCTTAGAGTGAAATATATAAACTATTTAATTCACAGCGATACGAGTTTGTACTATTAGCACAATTTAATTAGTGAGCTCTATAACATAAAAACGAGTCGAAAAGTGGGATGTCTTAATTCCTAAACAAGGACCATGCAAAGTTGGTACTGTTTCTTTTGTCAAAAATTTGCTAATTAGCTAATTCTGTTTTTCTACTATAAATAGAAGAAAGTCAGAAAAATCAATTATTATATTGCTTGCCTTCCTTTTTTCCTTCGCAGTTTTTTTAGTTTAGTATAGAGAAAGCTCGCTCTAGGTTATTGTAGAGCTCACTGAAACTTTAACTCATCTTATTAAGATTATTAATTATCTCTTTTAAAGAGTTGTATCGACGCAGTGACATCGATTGGCATCGTTGTATATATTTATATGACTTTCTATAACTTTTGCGACTTACGACGATTGCTGTGTGCATGAAGTAACTAATATATTAATCTCATAGAATATCCAAGGCGTCTTATATTAATAGTCATCGCTTGAATATTTGCACTAAAAACCTCGGCAGGCATCCTAAACTGTTCACCAGCATTTTTACCGAGACGAACATTCGAGTTTACAGAAACCTATTCTATAACAACTCTTTGTATAGTACCACATGTATAATACATTAATATGTACTATGTATAGAATATTAGTATATATATAATTACTCTAGTATATATGTATTCATAAATAGGCAGTATGTACACACACATGTAACATTGTCACATCGGTATTTCTTCAATTTTCTCCCAGCAAAATCAAATT